GATTGCCTTAACCCAAGGCTGCTTACTCTTCCGTTTAAAATCTAAAAATGATTTTTATTTTTTTATCTGCGGCAAAGCCGCCTAATTTTAAATGTATAGATTTTCCCAAATACATAGTAAAATCTAAATACATGCATAACTACTGGCTACCTAGCCACATACCGTATTCTTTTTTGGGTGCAGCCACACCAGACCCATCTCGTTGGACCCCCCCTGTTACCGGGGTACGTGTAACCCGTGACATCACCTCACCAAGGTCCTGTCGTTGGTCAATGGGACCCAGCCTTAAAATGAACTACTCTCTTTAGGACAGGTGGATTTAAACTTCCTGATTGAATTATAAGTGTCGTGTATTTATGCGCAAACATTCTGTAGAGATCAGTAGATAATTCGCGAAGACATGGACGATGCAGATACCGGTGCGATAAAATTGCATCTTGTGGCACGAAATTGGGTAGGTATTCCTGGGCCTCCCTGTAACTATCAACGATTTTGACAGCGTGCGATGCTGTCTTACTCTAAGCCTACATTTGAGATAAGATTGCATTTTAGGTGTGGTGTGGCTCGAGCAACATGAGTCATGGATCGACTGGGAATTAATCATTAGGGGTCCTTGCATTTACCTTCTGGTGAAGGTTCGGTAACTCATATCTCCACATTTTCTAAAAAAGGCGTAGCTGGCGCAGAAAAAAGCTGCGAAAGCATCAAAATGGGTGATGGAATTGTATAAACAGATTTTTACTTCATACAACTCTATAGGAATAAGCTACACCAAAAAATTGTTAAATGTCATAAAAGAATAAGCTGAAGTAAGGCGTGGTTTGATGTGAGCGATTGCATTTTTTGAATTTCCAAAAGGCCTCTCTCATGAGACGGTATAAAGCGATTTCATCCCGCAGTTTCCAGAGGGGTTCATCAATGAGAGGGTTATTAAAAGTCGTAAATTGGAATTCTCAGCAATAGTTCCAGATTGGACGAATAAGGGGACATTGGGTCGCGGTCTTCGAAGTTTGATAGCATGGACGAGTCATACTAGCTTAGTACCGCGGCCTCCTATGTAACCGCTGGTGAATATAGGCTACTCTAAGTCGTGAGATGAAGAGCTCTGATCTGACACTCGGATGAATGGCCTATTCTTGTTGAAATGCGTTGTTTCTGCTGTGTCAACAGTAGTGGGTGACACGACAATATCGCAGAGCAGAGAAGCTCTACGCATTGCGTGGCAAAAGAATTTTAATCGCTCAAAAACGGATATGGGAAAATCTTAGGACAAGCCAATCGTTATTTTAGGCAAAACATTTTGTAGATCTTAATGAGCTATTAAATGAGATATATGCGAAGAGTTGTAGGACGTTGAGATCACCGATTAGTATTGCTAGCCTCGAAGAAAGACTGATCTTGTTATCCATCTAGGGTTAACCTGCATTTTGAATTTGCAATTAAAATTACTTTATGAACTTTGTGCATAAAAAGGAGCAGCTATCATCATAAATCCTATCAATCACTTTGCGCTTTGATGGCAAATTGTGATGTTTTGAGATCCGCCATGCGTGTTGCTCTGGATTTTGGAGTGAAATTCAAATTAAACCTGTTTCCTGAACCAAGTATCACATCACAAGTCAGTGGCCTAGATTACGAAGCGTGACGTCATCCACGCATTCTATTAAATAAAGCATAGTTGATAAAACAAAATGCAAATTTAGCAACTCAGCACTGACTCCCTGCGTACTAGCTGCGAATACAAGTTTATCCACGTAAAAGATATCCAATTACAGCCACGAATTCGTAGCAAAGACCAATTCCTTCAAATGGCGACTTGCGAAACAGCTTGCTGCAGTGGGCACTCTGATGCTCTGGATGGAACTTATTGTGTTTCTGATGCACTACTGACATAGAACCTATAATAACCCGCAGCCATGCAGAGCGCGGGGATTCGGATGTAGACATCTACATCAAATACTTGCACGCAGAGCACAACTCTATGAGCATTAACAAGTTGTTCGCCACCGTTTACAAGTGTGTGGTTGGGGATATTCAGTAAGAAGACGATTTTGCAGGCGGACACCGCGACATTAAATCCATTATAGATGACTAACTGTCGGAAATTGTGGCTCTACCTAGTTAACTTCTCGCACAAGCAATAGTGCAAATTAACACCGACATATCACCATCGTTGATAGGATGCTGATACGCAATAATGCGTCATTGTGCTTCAGACTGCCGGACCAAAATAAGAAAAAAAGTACCCGGCTCGTGACAATTATATTTTGATTATAAGTATGTCTTTGCTTAAGTCAGGGTCATCTGTGTAGCTCCGAGACATTTGTGATTCAGACACATTTTTCGTTTTGCGTACAGCGACGTAACTGCCATTTTCTATCGCAGAAAGTGATAATATGGCCATCCTGTTGCCAAGTATACCTTAACGATTGGTCAAAAAATTAGAATTTCAGAGTATCACCGAGGAGACCCTTCAAATTATTTGCTAGCGTCCCCGTTGCAGAACACACGGTTAATGATTAGCCGGCTTAATGTTGTATTCAATGCGCTTTTGCATCATTCAAATTATGAGCTTTAGTATCTAACACTAATAAAGTCACGTATTGATTTGGCAATATTTACATTTTACAAATTCTTCATGTATTGCAATATTGACAGCTTTGGAAAGCAAATGATTCGTTAACTTGAATGTCACTTCAATAAAATATTCATTGCCCGTTCAGGGCCGCTGTTCTTGCTAAAGACTTTCTGTATTACACCTGACCTACTTGACATTCAGCTTACATGGTTACTAATGTCGAAAACATTAACTACAAGAATGCAGTACTAGGCTAAGATACTCTTTCGTGAAGTTTCCATAAAAGGAATTGCATACAGCTTAGTGATCGCGGTGCACCCAGGATTTAGCATACACAAATGATTAGCACCCATGTGCGCATGTTCAAAAAAATATAGCAGATCAGACCTCAGTCGCATGCATCAGGAAGCTTGACCGATCTGCCGGTTCAGACAGAATTTTTGCAATCAATCAGTATGAGTTTTACTTGTCGATTTTAAAAGACGCATTTATTTAAATAAGTATCGTGGTATAAGTAAGCGATGATGCATCTCGCTGCTGTAAGTGACCACTCACCGGTGAGGATATAGCCGAGCTGTTTTCAAATAATATTTCTTAGAAGAGAATTCCAGCATAGCTTGCCGGAGATCATAGTTTTGAATCGAGCCACTCTCTTTACAGCAAAGAATTTGGGAGCTTTGTTTGAGGTACGTGGTACGTGTCTACCACTGACCATCGCCTTACGCTTGGCCGAACGGAACGCGTTAATTGAGTGTCGGACGACTTCTTCACAGTGCTTGCACGGAGGCCCGCGGTGCTGAAATTGATCATTTCCATAGCTACGTTTGCGTTAAAATTTGCAAAACTTTCTTCAACAGCCATTACCCCAATGAACAAGGGTGGAAATAGCTAGTATCCCGGCTACGTGTAGCTATTTTAAAAACTTGAACGTCGTCCGCCAGTTTAGTAGCTCTAAGCTGAGAGCCACGATGCGCATGACCAACAATACAGACTGCAAAGTCAAGCAAAGCACATATATATGTTTTGGTGGATAGAAAAATTTAACGCTTATAGATATTTATTCACGATATGTCTGCAGCCAACAAGACTAAGTTACAACCGCGTTCTGGTCCCTTAAAGATTATAGATAAAATATTTAGCAACTTGTTCAATATTCCAGAGGGACAACGTGCAATCTATATGTTTTTTGAGGTCATACCACGATCCACTCCGATCAGCCAACCGGGTGCAAAAAAGTTTTGATGACCAAGAAACTACTCAATGATACCCTGTAGCTAAAGTACATTCTGTCAAAAATGTCGATCCTAATTCAAACCGCTTAGTACTCTTCAGCATATTAGTACGACTGCGCTGCTCAAACGCACACACCGTTAAATGTCAGAGCTCAGAAGAAAATGATACCACTATCAATATTCTAGAGAAAATGCAGCCACTGAGCCAAAGAACCCGAACCGGCCATTGCTTTCCTGTATGCACAAAATAGCCTAGGAAATGCTTTGATGAGGCACATTCAGGAGCTTTTCGGCCGGACGCTGGTGAAGAAAATGATGGTGTTCATCGTGCGGTTGTGCGATTGTCAATATCCTGTGCAAGATGACGCAGTGAAACGTAGCTCAAGGCCAGCAAACTTCTTCGAAATGAAATTGAGAAAGACAGTCCAGACTTGGAGGGAAGAAGCACCTCGTTGAGCACGTAGACGAGTGCGATAAACGACAAACTAAATTTCTCGTTAGTCGAACTGACTTGCATGTTCCATTGTCTTAATTAAAGCCTGGTGCGAACAAACAA